CTTGGAAGCGATCCTCCACATCCTCCTCCATTCAATGGTTAATTTTTACAGTTTGACAAGGGTTAGTTTGAAAAAGGGGGATTCAAAATATAAATAATCAAATATCAACAAAAATTAGTGATAAATAGGTTAATTTTAGTGGCCTCAATTGATGGCATAGGTAAATTATCTTAGTCAACTCAGTGTTTAACTCTTAGACCTATCATTCTCTTGAATTGGTCCATAAACCAGTTACTTAAAAGAAAACCAAGAATTAGATCAAAATTAATTATCCACTAAAAATCGAGAATTAAGGTTATTAAGGTTTGTAGTAATACGTCGTCCTCCCGTAAAACCCACCTCACCATCCTTTTCTCCAAGTGAAGCAAACACACATATGCATCAACTTTATGCACGTGCATATATATAAATACACATACACATACACACGACACTCTAGAGGGTGAGTGCGTGAGAGAAAAAAAAGTGTTAAAGAAACACCGGCAATCGTGTGCATCCAACCCTTTGCAACTATAAAAACAAATTCATTCCATCCCATTTTTCCCACTCCATATTGATTTTTATTTCTTTGCTTCTCGTTCTTAATTTGATCACCTCTTTCATCTTCTCCAAGACACTAGAACAATATGGTTTATACAGGGATAGCTAGAACTATTATAGGGATAATTGGTAAGTAGTTCAACAAACCCTTTTCCATGATTCATTAATAAACCCATCTTTGTTTTGTAATTATTTTGATTTTTTTTTTTTATTTTGGTAATTTCTGTAGGGAATGTTACCTCCTTCTTCTTGTTTCTCTCCCCAGTGTAACTATTTTCTTTTTCTTTTTCTTATTCAGTTTTCATTTTTCACATAATTTTGTAAGTGACATAGAAATATTATTGATGTTTTTTTGCAGCCCGACATTTATTAAGATACATAAACTTGGGTCAGTGGAGGAGTTCAAGCCTGATCCTTATGTAGCAGCAGTTCTCAGTTGCATGATGTGGGTCTTCTATGGCCTCCCCATAGTCCATCCTGACAGCATACTGGTAGTCACAATCAGCATTATTGGACTCGCCATTGAGCTCTCCTATGTTACTCTATTCATCATTTACTCTCCATGGGCAAAGCGTGTAAGAAACTTAACAATCCTAATTTGATTCATGATACTATCTGATCGTTTTCTAAATGATTGTTCGTGAAAATTTATGATACAGAGGAGGATCCTTTTGTACCTAGTGATTGAAGTAATCTTCATGGCTATCATAGTTTTCATCACACTGCAATTCCTCCACACCACCAAAGCTAGGTCTATGATTGTGGGAATTTTGTGTATCTTCTTCAGTATAGCCATGTACGCTTCCCCGTTGACAGTCATGGCATGTGAATTTTTCTCCTTTTGAATATCACTAAATTTTCCTTTTTAAAAAAAAAAAATATATTAACAAAAAAGAATTGCTTCTTTTCCCTTCTTTTTTAACAGAAAATGGTGATCAAGACGAAGAGTGTTAAGTACATGCCATTCTATCTTTCTCTTGCTAACTTGCTCAATGGCATTATTTGGGCTATTTATGCAATCCTCAAATTTGATCCTTATGTCTTGGTAATTTTCTCCTTGAGCATCAACTTAATTGTCTCCCAATTTAACCTTTATTTTTATGGGGTGTAATAGGAATATTAAGTTTCTTAAATGGCGATCTGTTTTACTACGTGTTTTGGGCATGAAAAAATAGAACCTTTCAATGGCAGTTATTTAGGATATGAAGCAAAACATATTAGTGTAAAGCAAGAAACTCACCATACTTTTTTCTTCTCTAGATTCCAAATGGGTTGGGAGCCCTGTCCGGCATGGCGCAGATCATTCTCTATGCTACCTACTACAAGACAACCCAGTGGCATGAAAATGAGGAGGAAAGACCTAAACCTGATGTTCAACTATCCAACAATGTCTGATCACCCCATCAAAATTCTTGTTCTGGTCTTGTGTTGGTTGCAAATAAAGCTAGCATCACATTTGTTGGCTTTGTTTCCTCACTTCACATCTGCTTGGTTGGATGCCTACTACATTTTTGTACCCAATATTATGCCTCTTTGAGCACCCAACAAAGCTCCTTGTACAAAACCTTGATATCTGTTAATAACACACATGATTGTTTTGTGGCATATATCATTGCTTCATCCAAAATTTCTCTATATATCTGTCAATAGATATTCTTATGTAGTGAAGAACAAAATACAGTAACGTGCAAAACCAAAGAAAGAGATTGAAAACCTTAAATCATTATCATGTTTGATTAATACATATAGATCATACAGAGGAGGTGTGGCGAAGCCAGGCTGCAACTAGATCGGCAAATGGAATAAATTACACATAGAATATAATTGACACTATGGTAACAAAGAAAAGCTTTACATCATGATTCAATAAAACTGGAATGTATGACAGCTCCTAAAGCCTATAATGACCAACACCATCTTTTCTTCTCAGCTTGGTATATCTCAGTTCTTTTTTCTTTTAAAAAAAATACCATAATACAGAATAGACCTGTCTGACCTTCAAACAGGAGTATCTGAATTGGTTATCTGCATAAACTAGCAATTGTTCAAGGCCCTCGATATCTCCGGAAGCAGAGACAACCTTGAGGCTGATCAAGAGGGATCATTCCCCCGCCCTTTGATGTGTCAATGACCTCCAACAAAGAAACCACCTCATCCATTTCAGGCCGCTTTTCAGGGTTTGCATCCCAGCATCGCTTCATCACGTTTGCTAGAGAACTAGGGCAACATCTTGGTATCTCCGGTCTCAGATTCTGTGTTCACAAGGTGAACCACAGTTAGCAAACGAAAGGGTGTCTGTTTCTTATTTATCTGAGTGAGATTTTGGGTAACAAACACTGGTTTTACCAGAAAGGAAAATAGTATGATTGATTTAGAAGTATATAGTATACCTGGCGAACCACAGCAGACGTCACCTCAGAGAAACTGAGGTCAGGATATGGCATGGCACAACAATATATCTCCCATAAACAGATGCCAAAACTGTACACATCACACTTCCTGTTATATGGATTGCCATTCAGAACCTGTATATATCAATTGCAAGAGTTACTAACATTAAGTCAGTAATTTACCCTTTCATTTCCTTATTTACAATGAGTTGCAAGTTTGCAACTTGCAACACAACAGTCATGCTTTTATCCATTCCAATTCAACAAATGACTGAAAACTCTCTTTTGTTAGTGGACTGTCAATATGAGATGAAGGAATGCAAAAACACATAAGCTAAAGAGCCACTTCAAGAAAAGAGAGGTTCACAATTTTGTTTTCAAAGTCCTGCTTAAAAAATAATATATTGCAATGAATTAAAAAAGAAAAAAGAAAAAAACTATATACCTCAGGAGCCATGTAACCAAGCGTACCAGTCTCTCCAGTCATGTCATTGGGATTTGAAGCCTCAACTCGAGCAACCCCAAAATCAGCAATTTTTACAGTACGTGTCTTGTCCAACAGCATGTTCTCTGTCTTTACGTCTCTATGAACAATCTTCTGCGAATGAAGGTAACTCAGCCTACAAAAGATGTCATAGATCAGCATTAAAGCAAGAAAGCTTCAGCTGCCAATTTGCCAAACCACAATATTATCAAGAAAATTAGAAGGGGATACAAGTTTTCAGTACCCTCTAGCAAGATCAAGTGCAATCTGGACAACCACTTTGAAAGCTAGCTTCCTTCTCCTGTTTTTTATGAGGAAAGATTTCAGAGTACCTCCAGGGAGGTATTCCACAACAACACAGCAGATGTTACTTGGCATAGCAATTTGTCCGTTTTCAGTTTGCACTTGAAGTCCCGATGAGCCCATTGTCGCCCCTATAAACTGGAATTGGATAAACCAGAATTGGTAAGCATAAGATATACTAACTATAAATATTTTACTATCACTTCAAAGTACCCAACTGATCTTCTAGATTCCACAGCCCTTGCATAAGCATATGGATATACATGATGCACATAGAACAGGCAATCCAACAGCATAAAGTTACTGGTATTCCTATAAGCATTCTAAAGCAGTAGGTAACTTGCTAACTAATCACCCAAATCCAATAAAATCAAGGGTAGAAGTTTTAGGTTGACACAATATCATAAACAAAGCCAAAAGGAGGAGAGAAGAGAAAATTCTCCTGAAGTAAAATTGACCTTGGTAACATTAGGATGATCAAGTTTATGCCACACAGCGACTTCTTGCGCAAAAGCTGCCCTTAGTGAAGCAATCTCAGCTTCTGTCCTGTGGCCTTCTTCACCCCAGTCAAGCAGCTTCACTGAACATGAAGAAAAACACAAAATCCAATTTTAGTAAAGTGAGATAAAATAATAAAATAAATTGGATGGATCTTAATTTAGTTGGAATAAAGGGACTAATCATCACTATAATGAAATAATAACATGATTGGAATAAAATTTCCAATGATGAATACCCGTTGACCCCATCATATTTTTTCTCTTTTTCTTGATCTCTAATTGCCACCATAGATACAAACAGCAAGGATCACATGAAAGTTTATTACGGACTCAATATTATCCAATTTTTTGTTGTTGGGACCAACAAATTCAACTTAAACCAGTAAGGGAATCACGGATCCCATGAGAGAACATTTAAGACCCACAATTGGCAACAGGTCAGCATAAGAGTTACAGAATTCTACTGCATCAAACAAATAACATCAAATGTAGCAAAAGCAAAGTCATTGCATCAGTAAGCCCCTCAGAATTATTAATGAACATGAATAATGAGCATGAGGATGTCTAAAAAATCCAACTCCAAACCCACAAAACTGAAGAAATCTGAGTCAAAAAGAAAACTGTTCTTTACTTTCTCAGCTGGGAAACACCACAAGGGAGAAAGAAAAATTTTAAAATTCACAGAAATAGCTAAAAATAGGTATATACACTAATCTAAAAGAACAGGGGGTATAAGCTAAAATATCCAAAAATAAAGATGAATTGGAAAAAGAAAAGAACTTGGAATTTGACTGACCAGCAACATCCTGACCGTCGTAGATGCCCCGGTGGACGGTGCCGAAGGCGCCCCGAGCAATGACGGACTTGATGATGAGCTTAGAAGGATCGATCTCCCACTCCCGCCTTTCCCTCCTGGCGAAGCTGAAGGCAGCAGCCGGAGACGGCATGGCGGCAGCGTTATCTTCATCAGCCCTCTTGTTGTTGTTGTTGTTCTTCTCCAAAGTCAAAACCCTGTTGAGGTGCCTCTCAAGTTGCTCGTCCAAGCTCTTGAGATCAATCTGATCCGCCCTGACAAACCCATCTCCACCCTCCTTCATATTTTCCGGCGAGAATCAGGGGCGAACGGCGTTGCTCAACACATACAGGGGCAGCAGCTGATTTTGCAGTACAAAAGAGAGAGAAAGAGGTTGCCGAGGCTCCAATCATCCATGTGGGCACATGGAATTGCCTGAACACAACGTGTGTTACTGACCCACTCTGGTCTCATCTTCCCCTCATTTATTTATTTGTTTATGGAGATTATTTTATTACGTAGAGTCTAAATTAATTAAAGGTTTTTTCGACTCGCGTGTTTAAGATATAATAGTATAATAAATATAATTTTTATTTTAAATTTATAATAAAAAATAAAAATTAATCTATTAATTTATTAATTATTTAGTTAAATTTATTTAAGATAATAACACTTAAATTAATATAGATTTTTACATTTTTATATTTCATTTTATAATAAAAAATATTTTTAATATATACTTTTAAAATATAAATTTTAAAAAACATTAATCATTAATTGCTACCATGAGAAAAGAGAACATTGCAAGTAAGGTTGATTTTTTGAGATCATGACTCATAAAACTTATTTATATTTGATTTATACGAGTTCATGAATTCTATCCGTCAAAATCTCTTAGTTTTTTTTTTTTTTTTTTAAGAATTAACTATTAGGGCATCTTAAATTTTATACAACTTGAAATTAATTTTTTTAAAATAATTTTAAAAGCATACTTTTATTAAACAAATTTTGGTATTAACTCTTAATATCCAGTAACTACAATGAATCTCGATTAATTTAGAATGAAATCGCATGAGACTTCATTAGGAAAAATTGAAGAGATTTGAATTCAAAATCTTGTTTAAGGAGAAATAAACTCCTTCCACTTGGATCATTTATTAAACAAATATATTTAAATAAATTACTTTTCTATATATTTATCTTAAAATTTAAATATTAAATTTGACATATAAAAGAATAATTTATTAATGGACCTAACTGTCAAAATCTATTACTTCTATTTTAGTCAAGGGATAAGGTTATTTGGTTTAATTGTTACTTTTCTCATGAAATCTTTACAAAGGAAGTAAAATTAGAACTGCATGAAAAATTAGTTTTGTAACTTTTATTAAAAGTATAGAGAAAATTGATAAGTGGCTACTAGGGAAGTTGAAAAAACATTTTCTTTCTAAAATTGAAGAAAGACTATTAATTGAAAATTATGTCAAAGACAAAATATATAATTAAAAATATTAAATTAACTTTTTATTTATTTATTATAGTATTAAGATAAAATTTAAAAGTATAATAAATATATATTTATTATAAATTAATATTAAAAAATAAAAATTAATTTATAATTTATTAATTATTAAATTAAATTTATTCACTTAAAATATTAATTTTAACATTACCAACCTAACATTAACGTAAAGGTGCTTGTTGCTTTCTGTCTTTTTCATTTTCGGATTTGTCTAGTCTCTGCAATTGCGGCATCTGGGAAGGGGCATTATTTACACTTTATTACATTTTATTTTTATAAAATATTATGAAGATTGATATTATTTTTATTGTCAATGTAATATATAGTTTTAATTAAATAATTAATAAAATTAAAGTTTTTTAAATTTTTTTAATATAAATTAATTATAAAAATATAATAAATATACCTTTAATTTATACTTTTAAAATATAATAAAAATTCTCTTCTTTTTAAAATTAATTTTGACGCATCTAAAAGCAAGGATAGGGTAGCTAAACCGTCCAAACAATAAAAATAAAGACACGTTACTTATGGACAACTTTTCATTTTCACCCATGTAGCCTAATTTCCAAAAAAAACCAAAAGTTTTGACTTTCGAAGGATCCAGCAATTATATGGAAAGAAACCTCATTTGAATAATCAAAATGAGTTGGATGGCGTTTGTTTTATATACTAGGGAGAAAAATAGAGTACAGTATTTTAATATAGTTTAAATTATAAAATATTTATTTTCAGAGAATAATATTAAGAATAATGATGATTAGGATGTATTTTAAAAAAATTTATGAATAATGATAAATAAAATTAAAATTTAAAATTAATAATATGATATAAATTATATTATATTATTTAAAATATTAAAAAATAGATTTTATTTTATTTTATGATTAACTTTTTTTATTTTATTAAGACTCATAATATTAATGCATTAATTAATTTAATAACATATATAAATCACGTCATTAGTCCCCAATTTTTATTCTCCCTATCATTACTTAAAATTTATATGAATTCACATAGTTAATATTTGAAAATTTTAATATTAAAATTTAGTCCCAATAATCATTACTTTGATAGTAAATCATGTGAATTTGAAAAATTTTTCATCCTATAATAATGATTTTTTTTTTTTACTAAATCTCCAGTATTAAGAAAGTTATATTGAATTTTAACTAATTTAGAGTATAATCGAGTCAAATTGGACTTTATAAGAAGAAGTTCTCTCTGGCTAGGAATCAAATTCCTTAGAGTCCGTTTGGTACAACGATTTGGTGATAGCAGTTTGCAGTTAGCAATTTTGTTTGAACAGCTAAGAATAGATATTTAATAAATTTATTTATTTCAAAACGGTTATAGATTAAGTGTTTGTTAAAACTTTTTATTTAGTGGTTTGAGAGTAGAAGATAGCGATTAAGGTTCAAACAGTTAGCGGATTAAAAAAGCTATCTAAGGTCATTTTTTGTATTAAACCACTAGTATATTAGAATTTTTTTATTTTATTGAAAAATTTATCCTTTTTAATTTTTTAATTTTTGGTTACATTTTTAATTAATACTTATTTAATTAGTTTCAACTTTATTTTTTATCTTTAGTAATACTAAGTAATTATTATATTTTTATTTTACATTAATTTGTCATAAAAAATATATTATCTTAATAAACATAGTTTGCTAATTAGACAAAAAGATTAAAATTTTTTATACTTTATTTAAAATTAATATAATTTTTTCTTTATTAAAATTAAAAAATTACATTTATAATTTATTTATTTATTATTATTGTTACAAAATTAATAATTTTAATAATAAAAATATAAAAAATACATATAATTTTTTTTTTTTTTATCTTGGTTACATAATGAGAAGCAATTATCTCTTATCCCTTATACCACTTCATTCGCATTTCATGCGATTCAAATTCAAAACCTCTTATTTTCAACGAAAGGAGATAAACACTGAGTTATTTAAGTCATTGACTACATATAATTGTTTTTAAATATATTCTTATCAGTCTTTTAATTTAAAATAACAACGACTAACTATCATATAACCAAACAGTTATATTAATCGAATCCGCTATTTATTATTCGTTATCCACTATCTACTATCCGTCATGTGCTATCCGTCATCTGTTATCTACCATCCTCTATCTGCTAACCATCATCCATTATCCACTACCATTATTTGCTATTCGTTATCTGTTATCTACTAAATTTTAACCATCATACCAAACTAGTCCTTAATAAGAGCTGAATTCTTTATACTTAGACCAACATATTGTTGCTAATGATTTTTGTCTTTTAATATATCTAACGTAAAGCCATACTTCAAGTATTAATTACTTTCTTCTCCAAAATATCACTCTATATTAGGCAAATACCAGATTTAGTTCTAAGTTTTTACTATAAATACTAAATACTATTCTAATCTTTCATTTTGATCAAAAATGGTCCCCAACCTTTTTAAAGTTACCAAACTCAATCATAGGATTAGTTACTTTCTTTAATTTTCAAGAGAAAATCTTAATCCAAAATTTTGAAAGGTTTAATAAACATTTTTACATAATTTTCTTTTATTTTTCATAGCTTGAATGCCAATTTATAACGAAGGAAAAGATGGTTGGAGTCTTCAATCGTTTCATGACAGAGAACACACTATAAGGGATGAGTTTATTAACCAATTAATATATATATATTTGATTTGAGAAAATGAGAGAAGTAAATTTTTTAATTAATTAAATTATAATATTTTTAAATATTACACTTTGATTAATTAAAAAAAATTATCTTTTCCCTCTTCTCTCCTGCCCTCCATGAAATATATGTATAAAAAGTAAATATAAAAATGGACTTATCTATATAACCTATGAGCATGTTATTAATCCATTTGTTTATATTAATTAGTATAAAAAATAATAAAAGTTTGACATTAATTTTATCACCAATGTTACATGCATTGTTTTAATTAAATAATTGATTAAATAAATGTTAATTTTATTTTTTCAATGGCAATTAATACTAAAAAAGTGTTCTTAACCTGTGTTGAAGAACCCTATAAAAATTAATAGTAGATTTAAGTTAAGGGAAATAGAGAAAAATGGAAGAGAGAGAATCTCTCCTATTCATTCTATTAATTTAAAATTTACTTTTAAATAAGTAAATAAATAATAAAAAAAATTCTACTGGCTTCTTTTTCCTTTTTTATAATTAAATAAAAAAATTTTAACTCAAAAAATTTTTTTAGTACTAACTCTCAGTATTCAATAATTACATTAAACTTGATTAATTTAAAATCAAATTATGTTAAACTTTATAAAAAAAAAACTCTTACGGTACTTGTTTTTTTATTCATAAAATTAAAATTCAAAATTTTACTAAAGAAATCAATTTTTTTTCACTTGAATCAACATATAATTAGTTTTAACTCAAATTTCAAATTTATTGTAAGCTAAAAATATAAATAAAAGAAATAATAAGGATACATTTTGAGAATATTATTTAAGAAGACGCCGATGGGATTTGAGAATCTAAGTCAAAAAGATTCTCACCAGTCATGCACCTTTTTTTTTTTGAAAATAGGTAATGAAACCAGTCATGCACGTTGTTTCCAATTTTTGATGGGATTTTCACAAGGGTAGCCCGTGGTACCATGGTACTCTGCCTACCCAATCCGTCTGCATAAGTACCACCTAAAATATACAATTAAAGCCAATACTGTCATGCAGGGTTGTCGGTAAGAACATCTATTATTTTGAAAAAATTTATATTATTAGCCAAATTCTTTATTTGTATTTTAAATATTTCTTTAATTAATATTTTAAATTTTTTTAGTTAATACTATTTATAATTTAAAATCTATAAAAAAAACTTAAAAATTAAAGGTTAAATCCTTTATTTACATCATAAATGTCAAATTTTTTTTTTACTTTA